CATTGTTACTCGTTTTAGTAAGATTTGTTTTTTTAGGAAATCAGTACTTTTATTCACGAAGGACGCATTAAAGTGATCAAAAGTGACAGTAAAGACATTTAAAACGTTAGAAAAGTTTTCGGTTTCAAATAAATGCTGTTCTTCTGAACTTTCTATTCATCTGTGAATCCTGAAAAATAAAATGCATCACGGTTTCCACAAAAATATTGTGCAGCACAACTGTGTTCAACATTGATAATAATCAGAAATGTTTCTCGAGCAGCAGATCAGCATATTATACTGATTTCTGAAGATCATGTGACACTGAAGACTGGAGGAATGATGCTGAAAATACAGCTGCACATCACAGAAATACATTACAGTTTAACACATATTCACGTAGAAAATTTGATTTGAAATTGTAATATTAGATCATGTGACACTGAAGACTGGAGGAATGATGCTGAAAATACAGCTGCGCATCACAGAAATACATTACAGCTTAACACATATTCACATAGAAAATTTGATTTGAAATTGTAATATTACACAATTTTTGATCAAATAAATGCAGCCTCGGTGAGCAGAAGAGACTTCTTTCAGAAATCTTACCGACCCCAAAGTGATTGAATCACAAAACCTTTCTGTGTTTAGTGTTGTCTATCTGAGACTGGATCAGGTAGAAATGTGTCCGCTATAAAAGAAGGGGCAAGTGAGGTGCCCTGAGAACTCATCAAACAAATCTGACATGAATAAATAAAATAAAAAGCTCTCAAGTTTTCATACGCAAGTCCACACAGACCAGTACAGAACATTACTGCTTTGACACTCCACTGCAGGAATCTATCAGACGGAGCTGGGCCTTCATCTAATCTGACACACAAACACCAGCAAACATCGAGGTGAGGAGTAGCTGGCAAATATATAGAACGTACAGGTACATATGCAAAGGAGGAGAGTAAATGATCGCAGACACTATAAAATGCAACATCTTTCACGGATTCGTTTGGCCAGACTTTTTCTCTTCTTCTTTCCGTTCTTTTCCTTGCTGTCCTCCATCTTCCGAGCGCGAATTTCCCTCATGAGGTCAAAGAACACCTGCAATCAAGACAATACAGCATCTTGGAAAATGCATCACTTTAAATCAATTCTAAATCGCTCGTATTATCAATGAAACAAGAATGTCAACATTAAACGCTCTTTACAAACCATTTACATCCATAACATCACATTTCCAAGTGAAACAGGATCTTGAACGAGAGTGAGACGGATTTGTGACGTCACCCAGCATGGAAGTTAAATACTGTGCACTGATGAATCGTGTACATTAGTGCCAATATTGTTTTCATGCTGCCTTGATTACACTTTAAGAAATAGTTTACCAAAAAAAGAGAATGTGCTCACCCTCAGTCTATCCCAGATCAGGATGAGTGTTTCTTCATCAGGTTTGGAGAAATGTAGCATTGCATCAGTGTCTCTGCAGTGAATGGGTGCCGTCAGAATGAGAGTCCAAACAGCTGATAAAAACATCACAATATTCCACAGCACTCCAGTCCATCAGTGAACATCTGGAGAAGACAAAAGCTGAAACACATCCAGCATCTATAATAACTCTTCCTGCAGTGTAAAAGTGTTCTGGTGTGAATCAGGAGAGAAATCTGCACAGATCAAGCAGCGTTTAAACAGCTCTAAACTAATATGAGGCTGGATTCTGATGTGAGAGACAACAGCAGATGCACTTCTTCACTGGAGGAAGCGTTATTATGGATTATAGCCTCTTGTGTCTTCTCCAGATGTTAACTGATGGACTGGAGTGCTGTGGATTATTGTGATGTTTTTATCAGCTGTTTGGACTCTCATTCTGACGGCACCCATTCACTGCAGAGCATCCATTGCTGAGACACTGATGCAATGCTACATTTCTCCAGATCTCATCTATATCTTGGATGAGCTAAGGGAGAGGACATTTTCAGCAATTTTACATATATGGTTTTATTAAATGTATAGCAATTGTAGTCCAAAAAAGTAGACAAGTAGGTTAAGAATGCATCCTTAAAACCCTTTTTTGAGAACAGGATGTAGTTTCAGTAGCATTTACACAGTAGCTGCCTCCCTGTACACTAGTAAACTATCAATTCAGGTTTACAGATCTGGTTTTGTAGTTCTCACCTTGTCTACGTTGGCGCGGGTTTTAGCCGACGTCTCCACGTAGCACACGCCCCACTGATCCGCTCTGGCTTTAGCCTCGTCTGCGCTCACCTGTCTCCTGTCCTCCAGATCCGACTTATTCCCCACCAGCAGGAAGGGGACGTTCTCGTCTTCCTTCACCCGCAGAATCTGCTCTCTGAGCGAGAGAGTGTCGTTAAGTAGGGGAGTAACGGTACACGTATTCGTACCGGAAATGTTCGGTACAGGTCTCTCGGTTCGGTACGCATGTGTGCCAAACAAATCATTAAATTATTTCAGGAAATTCAGACAATAAATGTCGTTTTGGTGCTCTCTGATGAGGCACAACAGATCGCCGTATACTAACGGCAGCGCGATCATCCATTCCTCTTTATTACTAGTTTTAACGTGAAATAAACTTGAATGAACATCTCACCCCTCACGTAATCGCTTAGTGTTTTTAAAACAGCTTGTAAACAAAATATCACGTAGCACTTTATTTACCTCATCAGTTCACCTGATAAATAAAGTCTAGAGAAGAGCATTTCGCTAAATATTAGACTATATATATATATTTTATTTGACCTGTTGTGATGTCTTAATTATTTAATGCATATGTTTAAATAAATATTTTATGAAACAAGTTATGACTCTGTAATTATTATATTTCAACAACAAATAGAAATTAGAAGTTAATTTAAAAACAATTTACATGTTTGCATACAATTTTATTAATTTGAGTGTTGATTATTAGAGTTAAAAATAAATAGTAATTGAATTTAAGTTTGTCTGTTGTTAATCGTAACCTTATAGACTATTATCCCTAAGAAAATTAATTATATATATAAATTTTTTTTTTTTAAATGCAATTTGTTCAGTAAACCATTGTTAAATTAAAAAAAATAATAATAATAATTATATTTAGCAACCGAAACCATACCGAACATATCACATACAACTAAAAGCAGTCAGAAAAATAATAAAAATAAAAATAAGAATGCCTTCACAAAAAGGTTTTTGCATTTAAACTAAATAACTATTTAAAGTGCCATTACTAAATAAATAACTAAACTATCAGACCAGTCACTCACTGGACAACTACCACAATCAAGCACTGTGGCCCAACCCCAATGCAATCAGACACAAAAGATCAGGGCATAAACAAGATCATCAGTTAAAGAGCAACAGTTCAAGTCTAAAATCAATGCAGCTCCTCTAAACAAGCCCAGCGCTGTAAATCACCTGAAATCAGCAGTGGCTGCAAAAGACTCTAATTCTGTGATGGAGAAGACGCAGAGGAAGCCCTCGCCGCTGCGGAAGTAGTTATCCCGGATAGCAGCGTAATCCTCCTGACCGGCCGTGTCCAGAATATCTATCTGCACCTCCTCGCCGTCCAGAACCACCTTCTTCCTGTAGCTGTCAGCTTTCGTGGGCTCGTAGTCTTCCACAAACTGAGGGACAGAAGTGTTTACATGCAAACAAATACTGATATACATATGCTGATTGGGTTTTATTTAACCCATTTATGAGCTTTAACACTCTGCAAACTTCCATAGGGCCCAGTAACAACTAAAATATTTTATATATATTAAATAATCCAAATTAAAATAATAAACATGTACCATTTATTTCTTATACATTATAATCAGTGTTATTTTAGTGTTATTGAGTTTTCAGTTTCACTTTCATTTTAGCTAGTTTAAATAATTGTGTTGTATGTTTTTGACATTTTTAGTATTTGTTAATGTATTGTTTTTATTAATTTATTTCAGTTATTTTAGTACAAGTTAAAGTACATGAGATTGAGAATGAATAGGCAATATATTTGTATTTTATTTTTATTACATTTGATTAAATCAAGTAACAATTTTAGTTTTAACCATAATAACCCTGATTGTAATATTATACAAATATTTTAAAGATATAGCTATCAACTGTATAAAACCTGCTATCATTTTCCATAATGGCAAACTACAACATTGAGAGGTGATTCATAACATCATCATATGAACAAATGACATTTGTGAGCACAAAACCAGTTTTTTAAGATTTGTAGATCATCTGAAAGCAACTATTTGAAAATCTGGAATCTGAGGGTGCAAGAAAATCTAAATATTGAGAAAATCATCTTTAAAGTTGTTCAAATGAAGTTCTTAGCAATGCATATTACTAATCACACATTAAGTTTTGATATATTTACGGTAGGAAACTTACAAAATATCTCCATGGAACATGATCTTTACTTAATATCCTAATGATTTTTGGCATAAAAGAGAAATGTATAATTGTGACCCATACAATGTATTGTTGGCTATTGCTACAAATACCAGTGCTGCTTATGACTGCTTTTGTGCTCCAGGCTCACATTATTATGATTTCTGCGAGGTAAAATTATTTTAATCACGTGTGGAAGGCATCCTCACCTCATCGTACATGAACTGCAAAGTTAAAGCAGACTTTCCCACACCGCCGCTCCCAACCATGATCACCTTGTGGAGAGCCAGCGAGTTCTGCCCTTTGGGCTTGGCTGCTGCCATGGTAACGGTTGCTAAGGGGCAGGACCGAGAGGAGTCGGGTCGGGAGGCTGTGGAGATGCTGGAGGTCTCTGAAGTGAGGGGTCAGTGTGTTCCAGAGAAGATCATGCACTGCTCGTGTGTACCTGGACCAGATGAAGACAGAAGGTGCACATCTCTTTCTGTAATACTCTACTCGTTGCTTAGCCAAAGTTATCACTGCTTTTCACTTGCTTATGTTCTCCTGACGAACCTAACGCTTTCAGAGTCAGGAGATTTAAGGCATTAACAGTGAGTGCATCTGCTCAAGCATTTCTGTGACATCTGGTCAGTGTTGTTATTGTTAACTAACACTAGAACTAATCAATATTGATTTTGTTCATTGAAATAAAGCAATATTTGGTGAAAAACTTAGAAAAGTTGCCTTAGCAACTAACCGAAACAAGATAAGGTGAAGTACTAATATTTATAAAACTGAAATGTAAATAAATTAGAAATATAAATATATATATATATATATGGAAAGAAAAAAAATGACAAAAGCACAAGAAAATTACTAAAACTTAAACTAAAATTAAACTTAGAATTAGAAGTTGAAGCACTAATTAGTAAAACGGAAATATAATAAATAAAATATTATAAAACAGAGATATAAAAAATGTCAAAATCACATAACAAAATTACTAAAACTTAAACTAAAATGAAAATTAGAAATGTTGCCTAAATAAAATAAGTTGAACGTTAACTACTAATTACTAAAACTGAAATAAAAGGAATATAAATATTATTATTTTTTCAAAAAACAGAAATAATAATATAAAAAACAGGAGAAAAAAAATACACAGTACACATTACAAAATTACTAAAACTTAAACTAAAATTAGAAATAATACCTTGGCAACATACTCAAATAAAATAAGCTAAAGAAGCCGAAGTACTAAAATTATGAAACATAAATATTGATATTTTTAAAAATAGAAATATATATATATATATATATATAAAAATACTACAAAAATGACAAAAGCACACAACAAAATGACAAACTTAAACTAAAAATAAATAAATACTGAAAATATAAGTAATAAAGGCTAATAATTCAAAATATCAGCATATGCTATAATAGTATGTAAATAGTACTAAAATAATAACACCTCAACATGCATCACAGCAAAACAAACCGCTCCTCAAATGACAGCCAGTAACATCAGTTAGATGCGCTTGTGTTATTTTAGAGTTCAAGAAGCGTCAGTTCTACAAAGAATAGAAAGAGACGACTCCCAGCCGAAGCAAATCCATAACACTAGCGGTGATCTAAAGCTGACTGGAGTAAAGGATTGAATGATTCATAACAAGCAGAGCTAGACGAGTCTGTGTGTACATTAGTACATATGAGCATATTATACATGCGTGTGTGTGTGTGTGTGAGTGTGTATCAGTGTGAGTGTGTGTATCAGTGTGTGTGTGTGTGTGTGTGTATCAGTGTGAGTGTGTGTATCAGTGTGTGAGTGTGTGTGTGTATCAGTGTGAGTGTGTGTGAGTGTGTATCAGTGTGAGTGTGTGTGTGTATCAGTGTGAGTGTGTGTGTGTGTGAGAGTGAGTGTGTGTATCAGTGTGAGTGTGTGTGTGTGTATCAGTGTGTGTGTGTGTGTGTGTATCAGTGTGTGTGTGAGTGTGTGTATCAGTGTGTGTGTGTGTGTATCAGTGTGAATGTGTGTGTGTATCAGTGTGAATGTGTGTGTGTCAGTGTGAGTGTGTGTATCAGAACATCACTGGACCCTTGCTGGATCCTCTTCAGTTTGCCTACAGAGCAAACAGGTCTGTGGACGATGCAGTAAACATGGGACTGCATTATGTTCTGCAACATCTAGACAGACCAGGGACTTATGTGAGGATCCTGTTCGTGGACTTCAGCTCGGCCTTTAACACTATCATCCCAAACCTCCTCCTGCCCAAACTATCTCAGCTCTCCGTGCCCAGCTCCGTCTGTCAGTGGAAGTGTGTATCAGTGTGAGTGTGTGTGTATCAGTGTGAGTGTGTGTGTGTGTGTGTATCAGTGTGTGTGTGTATCAGTGTGTGTGTGTGTGTGTATCAGTGTGAGTGTGTATCAGTGTGAGTGTGTGTGTGTATCAGTGTGTGTGTGTGAGTGTGAGTATCAGTGTATGTGTGAATCAGTGTGAGTCAGTGTATCAGTGTGTGTGTGTGTGTGTGTGTGTGTCAGTGTGCTATTCTTTAGGAGTGCCATACTATGGGAATCATTCAATACCACTGTGTATACCATAGCATTAGCATCTGTTACTATGCTATCAGTACTTTTTGTAAGAGTCATTTGTACTGTCTGCTCTGTGTGTCTCTCTCACACACACACACACACACACACGCACACACACACGCACGCACGCACGCACGCATTAGCTTTAATCTAGTAGCACCCGGTCTGGATTTAACATTATAACCACAATATCCGTAGCGATGGCTCGACAGCACACACACACACACACACACACACACGCGCGCACACACACACGCACGCACGCATTAGCTTTAATCTAGTAGCACCCGGTCTGAATTTAACATTATAACCACAATATCCGTAGCGATGGCTCGACAGCAGTGCTGGACCTTACCTTTGTGTGTGCTCGCTCAGCTGGAGGTAATCCAGAGACACAGGACTCCTCTTCCCTGCTCTCTCCGTTACTGCAGACTCCACATCCCGAGCAATGCCATCAGATCCGGACCGAGAGTGCTCTGTATTCACCGCGACTGCAGCCGGTCCGGTCTCCGTGATCTCCGTGGTCTCCGGTGTGGCGGCAGGCAGAGCTGGGTGTGTGTCGGGTCACATGCAGGGAAGCGGCGCGCGGCGGCTGTCTGCGCATGCGCAGGCGATCCCCCTGCGAGAACTGAATCAGTAGCCTCTGACTCACTCAGTGCTAGGGTCTTTAGTTCGGCCCTTCGGGTTTATACACGTCTCTCATAGTTATATGTGCTGAAACAAATCTCTTGAGCACAGTCTGAAAGTAATTAACCAGTCTGAGATGAACCTGGTAAAGTTAAAGCCACATCTGGTATTCCTGAAGACAAACAATATCTCAAACCAGCTCTGCTGGTCATAGATGGTTTAAACTGGTCTAGTTTCTTTATTTGACTCCCTAACTCTAGCACTCTCTCTTCTAGGTCTACTTTATCTATCTATTTTTTGTTGTTGTTTTTTTTAAACGACCCTTTAAGACTTGCACTCTATTTGTTTTCTAACTGCTTATTTTCTATATACCTCTAACACTAGCTTTATCCTTTTTCTATTCTATTTGCTAAATCTATTATATAATTAACAAACAAAACAAAAAAAAACCTTGCTACATGTACCACTGCGTTAAGCTAACTGTCATAGCACTTATTATTGCTCTTTTGTTGATTCTGATTGTCCTCGTCTGCTAAATGACTAAATGTAAATGTTTAGCTGGCTAAGTGCCTCAAAACAGGCTGAAAGGCCAGACAAGCAGCTTAGGCTGGCTTCAGATATGTTGTTTTTATTCTTAGCAGGTATCTACCATCATATTTTGCAACGCGGAAGTAATCTGCTTCCTGTGAATGTGCCAGACTTCTGATTCATTAGCCGCTCTGCGTAACTAGAACAACAAAGGGCAGTAAACGGTTAAACAACTTGTGCTACAAACCAGTGTGATTGTAATTAGGATGATAAATTAAAATAATATGCTACCAAGAAATACCAGATTGCAATATCAGGCAGCATAACGGGATGTTTTTGTACAGGTAAAATAACAGCGACACTGGAAGCCGTGCACAGGTAATGCCCGCTCTCAAGTTAAACATTAGCTGGATGCAATAATTATCCAAAAAACAAAATGCAAATCTTTACAGGTGGTGTGTCACCTCCGTAGGTCCTGTAAGACCAAGACTTTACTGTCTGACCTTAAGTCCAAACATGCTGATAAATCTTGGAAGGACACCGTTCAACTTGTGCGGAGATGCATGGTAAGAAAATTGCCTTCACGAAATATCCAAAAATGAAAATAAAGTGATTTATTCACTCCTGTGTCATGTCTGCAGAGCTGGGTAGTAACCGATGTAGCGAATCAGCTCGTGGGGAAATATGAATAATTAACCATAACTAGTTATAATTAACTATTCATATTTTAGATTGTAAGAAGTGTTTCAACATGGCATCGACTACTGATGAACACATTCATTTTTATTTGAGGTATCACTCAGTCGGTTATATTACCATGTATTACTTTGGAAGGCATTTGTCTTTCAAACACATTAAAATTCACCAACTTTTTTGTCATCTGATCCTCTTTCACCTAATATGTTTTTATTTGAAGTACCCCTGAGATTTTAGAATACATATTTTAATAATGAAGTACCACATTTGCATGGTTCTCTGATGTCGATTATGGTCACATGGCATGCAGGTAAACTAATACAACATTTCATTTTTTCATTATTTGTTTTAATTCAACATTTTAATTATTTAATTAATTAGCTTGTCATTAAACACACAATCCCCCTGCAGTTCCTTCACAAACCTTGGGAAACCTTGACGTAATATAATATTCAATGCACTTCATGTTGATAACAACAAATGGAATCTATTTTCTTATTCTTTGTATTTTATGTCAGTATGGTACCAGACGAGAGCAACGCTCCTGTGGTGAGACGACGTGCTTATAATATTGTGGATATAGAAGTCTGTGAAATGCGTGAACAGCTTTGACATTCTTCTAAAAGTCTCTTTTTGTTTTCCACGAAAGAAAGACTGTCATACAGGTTTGGAATGACATGAGGATGAGTAACGGCACGCATTGTTTATACTGTTTAATTCACATTGCACTTCAAGCCATATAGCGTCACACATGCATGTGATGTCATATAGAAGAGGTCAAGGCTGGGTCAATTATTGCGCATTAGAGTCCAAACTTAAGTCTCTCAGACATCAGCCTCAGGTTGTTGCCATTATGTGCGTGCACAACCTTCCAAATCTATTCCAGATGTTCAGCTTGAGACTGCATAAATCAGTGCCAGAATAATATGCAAACAGCAGGTCGTTCTCCAGAAAGATGATTCAATCTGAGTTTCTCTGAGCAGCTGTAAGGTTGGAAGGTCCCTGCAGGATATGCTTGGGGTTATATATTTGTCTCAGAACGTCATTCCTCTGGACTTTTCAACATTTCTCAGTATTGCTGCTGTGGTGAAACAAGCAGGTGAAGAGAATTTTTCTTAAAAAAAAACAAAAGACAGGAGTCTGTGAGCCAATCGCACAATGTCTTCAGAAGATCAACGACGCGCTTGGACGAGGATGTCTTTGAATTCAACTCTAACATACTTCTGTTTTTTTCAAAGAGGGTTTGAACTTTTCCTACACACAGATATTGCACTTAGATCGCAACATCCAATATTTTTTTATGCTTTAATATGAGATAATCAGCAGGGTTAATATTGCTTAAAGTCGTCATGCAATGGAAATTCATCTGTTTTCTAAATGCATGCTGTTCATCTTTTTGTGATGAGCTTGTTTTTTTGTTTTTTTGAGCCTGTAATTTTTAATCCTATCCAACAACTAATGGATTGAGTCGAGTCTTCGTCCTACATTTGTTTGTACAATTTTTAACAATGTTAAACCAAGTATAATTTTAAAGTGTTTTTTTTCCTTCCTTTGTCTCACCCAAAAATTGCCACAGATGCTGGCATGGTGTTACAAAACATACATACAAACAAACGCTCTGATGTACTTCACAATGCAAAAGAAAAGATCTGTTGTTAATTGTTACATTGCAACTTTAAGCTGTGTACCTTCAGATTAAGTCAGAACTTTCCTGTAGAACCAATGGAGAACTGGGGATTACCCTGGAAAACCTGTTTGAACACAGTCATTATTTTTGCAGTTCTGCACAGTGCCAGCTGAGATAGAAATTACACCTTTAAAGCTGTGCTGAATTGATCGTTCATCTGAAGTCCCTGTATTTTATTATTTTTTCAGACTGTGTATTGACATAGACATCCTTGTTTGCGTTCCTCACAATTTAATACTTAATCAATATTTTAAAAGCTTGTATGAGTTTCAGATTTCATTGCTGTTCCTTCAAACCCTCTGTGCAGCTGGCTCTTATCATTTAAGCTGACAGACTCCTGGTTTTTGTAGATTGGCGTCACATATGAGCCCCACAGAGACGGTGTGTTACCTGAGGGTGACCCATCACGGCGAAGCTCCCGTGGTGAGACGACATGCTTCTAATATTGTGCAAAAGAGTGTGAAATGCATTAACATGGTTTGGTTTGGTTTGTAGTCCAGCCCATCACTCCTCCAGTTGTTGAGGTTAATCAAAATGTTCTTTATTTCAAGAGAAAAATGCATTGAAATATATTGGAGGTGGAGTAAAATGGTTATCGCATTCCCGCAGAATGAAGAATTTTCAAGAGTTCTCTCTAAAGTTGGATGATCTTGCCTCTTTTTGCATCATCCCTGGAGACAGGTATTGCCTTCTGGTATCTGATTATGAGTAGCGCTGGGCAATGATTAATCACGATTCATTGCATCCAGAATAACGTTTTTGTACTGTGTGTATTTATTATGTATATATAAATACATACACATGCATGTATATATTTAAGAAAAATTTAATGTTTATATATTCAACATATTTATATGAATGTAAATGTATACATGTAAATATTTTCTATATACTATATGTGTGTGTCTTTATATATGTGACCCTAGAGCACAAAACCAGTCATAAGGGTCAATTTTTCGAAATTATACATCATCAAATAAGCTTCCATTGATGTATGGTTTGTTAGGATAGGACAATATTTGGTCGAGATACAACTATTTGAAAATCTGGAATCTGAGGGTGCAAAAAAATCTAAATATTGAGAAAATCATCTTTAAAGTTGTTCAAATGAAGTTCTTAGCAATGCATACTACTAATCAAACATTAAGTTTTGATATATTTACGGTAGGAAATTTACAAAATATCTTCATGGAACATGATCTTTACTTAATATCCTAATGATTTTTGGTATAAAAGAAAAATTTATAATTTTGATCCATACAATGTATTGTTGGCTATTGCTACAAATATACCCCAGCGACTCAACACTGCTTTTGTGCTGCAGGGTCACATATATATATAATAAATATACACAGTACACACACACACACACACATATTATGTACACAAAAACTTTTATTTTGAATGCGATTAATCGCGATTAATCATTGCCCCGCACTAATTATGAGGTAATGATTTATTCTGCTCGTATATTTCTGTAACTATGAGTGTTCTCTGGCAGTGATGTCAAATATAAAATCCACGCCTCTCTTCGACAGCTGGAAACAGATCTCTTCAAAATATCCCATTTACCAAGGTGTGGGAAACCAGCACATGTTTCTCAAGATGAAAGTCTGTTCTCATATAATGCAGTGAGCACGGTCTCCTCTAGGTCTCTGAGAGAAAGTGACCTTCACGCTGACCTCATCATGAACGGCAGGACTGGGAACATCCAGCCAGGCAAAGAGGGTACGCAAGAGAGATGTTTAATGTGAAATATGAACCTGTTCTCTAATGTCTCCTTCCTCACCGGAGCTCCTCTGACAGCCGAGCACTACATTAGATCTTCTCATGGGGTTGTCAAACACAGGTATTAAAACAGTAGCTCGGCACATAACTTCTAATCCAGTGTTACTTTTGTATTTATATATTGTTATAGTTTTTGATTTGGCTTTTTTTGAAAGGTTTCTTTAAAAAAAAAAATTCACTTCATTTTTTTTCACGTTTAATTTTCGTTTAAGTTTTAGTAATTTTTTGTGTGTATATTACATAT